AGTTGTTTTGGTGATTAAATCATTTTGGGGATTTGCAACAGCTACAGCTACTTTCGTTCCCTGCTCCCTTGGTGACAGCGTTTTCTGTAAAATGCCTGCTGTTCCTTCTTTCTCTGCTCATTTTCATAGGAATTTGGCACCTTAGAATCCCAGGCTGCCTGCAGACAAATGCTTGCTAGGGAGGGGAGCCAGTGGGTGGGGGAACCTGCAAGAAATCAGAACCAAATTTAATGAAGCATAGGAATAAACTCTGACACCATGCCTGCCTAATGGCTAGAAGGATGTGGAAGTACCTGAAGGCCATTTGTTGAACCTCTTGTGACTGTGGGTTGGCTCACCTGAGGTTTAGTAGATGTTCTTTGGTGACAGATTTGGATTTTGATCCCCTCTCTTTTATTTCTCCACAAAAGTCTTGACAAATTGATGTTTATGCAATCAGTAGGACTTCTGGGAAGCCGTCTTTTGGCTATCCCAGCTTGATTTGAGGGTGAGAGGTAGAGCATAGTGCCTTCTCATTAATATCTCCCAAGTAGACAGGTGCTAATCACTCATTCTCTGGGGCTAGGGATATGTATATCATATAGTTCAGGCTGGCTACAAGCTGGGTTTGAACTCACTATGAGGTGGGGGAAGGCCCTGAGCTTCATGGTCTTCCTGCTTCCGTTTCTCAAGTGCTGGAATTATGGCTGTGAATGCCATAATGTCCAGTTTATGTGGTGCTAAGGATCAAACTCAAGTGGTATCTAGTTTTTTGGGACTTCATATTAAAGCACTCCCATTGTTGAAGACAGACAGCCTAACCACAGCCCAGGAATGATTTAATCACCTCCCAAATCCTCCATCTCCTGATGCTATCACATTGGTGAACAGATTTCAATATAGGAATTGAGCAGGTGGGGAGGGGAATCCAAACAATTAGAACACAGTGAGTACTCTGGTGAACTCCTACAAAAATGGCCTTCCCAAACTCAGCATGGAGCCAAATGTCTGTAATCTCAGCACTCAGTAGGGTAGATGTTGAGTAATTAAGACCCCCAAGACCAGCAGTGGTTCCATAATAAGTCTGATACCACCATAGCCTATATGAGACCCTGTATCAAAAAACTCAACACAGAAACAACAAAAATGGCATTCCTCCACATTCATTGCTACCCTACAGGGGTAATTCTGCCTGTAACAGGTGACTAGCAGTGGAAGATTTGAAGACCTGGAAGAAGATAGACTTCTGGGCTGTGCCCATGGTGTGTACTTCAACTCTTAGGCTGTAATGGAAGCTAAGGAAACGTATCTCTTTAATCTAGTAAGATTCAGGGTCAGTGACTTCATTGGCAGCCACCACATGGCTAACTCTTCTAGGACCTTGTTCCTCTGTATCAGACTTATTATATTCCAGTTCAAGGTCACAGTGAGTACACCGAGATGGCCATAGAACAAGGAAATATGTGTTTGTTAACTGGTAGCTTTTATAATCATGATGAAAAAGATGAGTGTCTACTCTCAAGCTATAAGCTTTTTCATGGGCATCAGATTATCTTTTTAAATAACAAAGAGGTTAAAGGAGGGCCTTATGGTTCCCATTGTCTACACTCAGGCTTCTTTTGAAAAGGTTTACAGTAGGTATGCATTGTTTTCTAGTCAGAACAGAAATAAAGGGATTTGTTTTGTTGAAAAGAAGTAGAGCTTTGGTACTAACGAGGAGAATATGAATATATTTTACTTATTCATTCTAAGGTTCATGGTTCAGACTTCTTATGACAAATGACAGATTAATAAAAGCATGCAAATTTGGGCTAATGAGAGAGCTCAGCCGGGAAAGTTCCTGACATGCAAGTATGAAGACTTCCCCAGAAATCAAATAAGAAATCTGTGCACAGTGTGGAAGAGGAGACAGGAGGTTCCCTGGGGTTTACTGAACAGCTAAACTAGCCTATTTGTCCATTTCCAGGCCACCAAGAGAACTATCTTTTAAAAAGTGTGTGTGTGTGGGGGGCGGTAGATGGCTCTTGAGGAATATCTGAGGCATGCAAATTTACTTATTAAGTAAGCAGAGGTGGGAGAAAAGAACAATTATTCACTGTTGCTGGGTGTGTAAACTGGTGTAGCCACTATGGAAATCAATATAGATGTCTCTCTCCCCTACCAAAAAACAAAACAACGTCCCCCCAAAAAAAACCCTTAAACTGGAACTACAATATGATCCAGGAAACAGGAAACATTCCTGTTTCCTAAAGGACTCTAAGTCAACCTGTGACAGAGACACCATACACAAGCAGGGTGCACACCTTTAATCCCAGCACTTCGGAGACAGCGACAGGCAGACATCTGTGAGTTCAGGGGTAGCCTTGGTGTGTTCCAGGATAGCCATGGCTACATAGGGAAACCCTGTCTCAAAGACGGTGGCCGGGTGGATGCTGCTACTTACAATTTACTTTAGCCACCACAGTTGAAGGACTTAAACCTGTTACTGCTAAATTTTACACCTTCAGTGTTCCCAGATTACTTCCATGGAATTTATATTTTGTTGTATTTTAATATCTCTTGTATACTATACAAAAACCTCAAAAAGAACTTCCAACCAATAGCTCAACCCAAAATAACCTTTTGGTCATTGTTTTAATTCTTTTTTATGTGCATGTGTGTTTTGTCTGTCTGTATGTCTGTGTGTTACTTGTATGCCTGGTGTCCTCAGAAGCCAGAAGAAGGTCTCCTGGAACAAGAGTTATAGATGACTGTATGCCACCATGTGGGTGCTGGGAATTGAACCCGGGTCCTTAGGAAGAGTGCTCAGTGTTCTTAATTCCAGCCCTAGTTGTTTGTTTATGAGGCAGGATTTTGCTAGGTAGTCCAGGCTGGTTTTAAACTTTCTCTTTTAATGAGACAGGATCTCATGTGTCCCAGGCTTGCCTCAAACTTTCCATGCAGCAGAAGATGGCTTTAGACTCCTGACCATCCTGCTTCTTTCTCTTAGAGTGCTGAGATTACAGTCATGTGCCACCACGCCAGACTTTTCTTAACATGAATGTGGCACAGCAAGGAAACTGGAAATCAATCCCTAGGTAGCATGTTTAGGCAGACAGTAGAAGGAGGAGGAAAAGGAAGAGGTGGAAGGGGAGGAAAGGCAACAGGAAGAGAAAGAGGGGGGGGGAAACAAAGGCGGAAGACAAAGACTTAATCAGTAAAGGAAAAGGTTAAAAAGAAAAGGAAAATGGAGTACACCGCTGTTTAGAGAAGAGGTTCTCACCACCCTTCTGAGGGGTCAAATGACTTTCACAGGGGTCATTCATCTAAGACCATCAGAAAACACAGATATTTATATTATAATTTACAACTGTAGCAAAATTATAGTTAAGTTATGAAATATCAACACAAATAATTTTATGGTTGGGGTCACTACAACATGAGGAACTGTACTAAAGGATCAAAGCATTAAACAGGTTTAGAGAATAAACTCCCAAATGTATTTTTAATGTTGTAGCTTCATTCTTTATTGTGCATACATGCCACATTTGCTTTATCCATTTCTCTGTTGATGACCATTTAGACCACTTCTTTATCATGGCTACTGTAACTAGTGCTCAATAAACATGGGTGTGCAAGTGTCTGTGGTATGTGGTATGACCAGCTGCCTCAGGATCCTGCTACCACAGCTATGCTGCTCTTACCACCATTGCACCCCGCTGGCCATGATAGACTGCTCCCTCAAACTATTAGCCAAAAGAAAGCCTGCCTTAGGTTGCTTTCTGCAGAGGGTTAGTCACAACATGGAGAAAGTAACAAATGCTGATCATTTTGTTAAATGACAGGTCTATACCACTAAAGAAGAAGAATCAAATTTTCTTCCTTTCCCATATGTCTCCTGAGACTGTGTTGATTCTGATCCACCATTTAATTCCTGACACCAAATCTGTTTTTTAAAATGCACACAGAAAACTGACTGAAGGGCTGGGTGGGGGATGTAGTTCAGTTCATAGAAGGTTTGCCTAGCTTCAATGAATTAAATCTACAGTACCACATAAACAGGTTTGGGGGTGCATGCCTTTAATCCTAGCAATTGGAAGGTGGAAGCAGGAAGATCTAGATTTCAATGTCATTCTTGACAAAAGAGCAAATTGGAGGCAATCCATGACATGTGATACATAAGACTCTGTCTTTCAAAAAAAGAATGAAGGAAGAGAGAAAGAGAATAAGGAGGAAGAGGAAGAGGAGGAGGAGGGTGACTGAGGGGCTGGGGATGTAATTCAGTGATAAATTTGAGGATTAGCATGTTCCAGGCTCTGGATTCCCCTAAACAAATCTAGCAAACAAAACTGACTGGAGGCAGCTGAGGAAGGCTGGGAGTGAGGTGATCTGCCTCAGGGACAGTCCAGTACCAAACAACTGGCCCTGAAAAATACATAAAATGGAAAAAACGCCATGAATTTGAAGGAGAGTGGGGAGGTGTAAATGGGAGGGTTTGGAGAGAGGAAAGGGAAGGAAGCAATGTAATTATATTATCATCTTAAAAATTAAAAAAAGGCTTTTCTGAAAAAAGGAGGATACTGGAAAGGTTTATGTTGGAATGCTAATGGTGTTGACAATGGCAGTGAGAAATAAAGGCGTGCTGGGGCTATTAGGCAGCTCTGCAAATAAAGCCAAGGCCAATGGGCTGAATTCAATCCTTGGAATCCACATGGTAGGAGAGAACCAGACTTCTGTAAGTTGTCATCTGGTCTTCACACTGGTGCAATGGTCCCCTTACTCCCCCACTTCACCCACCCCTCCCACATAAACAAATGAACAAATGTAGTTTAAAAAAGAAAGGTATATTGTGTCCTGCTTTGTCATATTGATGTATCTTCCATAATTTTATAAGGAACAAAAATAATAATTGCCATCCTTTTTTACATCATTTCCCAGCATTTGTGGAAGCATCTCTTGGTGAACGCGTCCTGAGCTGGACTTCTTCCATAATGAGCTTCTTACCTTTCATGGCATTGTTTTCATTTCGCTTTTCCATGCAGTCAATGATTCTATGGAATTTCTCTCTTTTTGTAATTTCATTTTTCCTCTCCTGTTCTTTTGCTCAGCCACATTGGGATTATCATCGACAGAGGTATGTTATAGTAAGAAGGCTAGAATTCCCATCATTATTGTTTTTGAAGTAAAACTAATGTACGAGTCTAGCACTATTTGGGGGAGAGTGATGAGATGAAATCTAGGGTCCTGTACATGCTAAGCAAGTAATTTGCATTGAACTACATACACATGAAGCCTGAGAGTTTTTTTTTCAAATGTATATTATTTTATGTGTGTGTGGGGTATGAGGAGTGTGTACATGATTACATGCATTTGAAGGTGAGAGAAATACTTCAAATGTCTTCCTCTATTGTTCTATCCCTTGAGACAGGCTCTCTCACTAAACTGGAAGCTTCCTTTTTTGGCTAGGTTGGCTGGTCATGAGCTACCTAAATCACCGGTCTTTATCCCCCCTACACTGGAGCCACGCCCAGCTTTCTACCTGGGTGCTGCAGATTTGAACTCAGGTCCTTGGATTCACACAGCAAATCCTCTTACCCACTGAGGCATCTTCCCAACCCCTTCTCAAATGTATTTTAAAAAAGTTTTAGACTGAGATTAGGCCTATCATTCCAGCACTCAGTAAGTGGAGACACTCAAGGCTAGCCTGGCTGCACAGTGAGTTCCAAGCAAGCCTGGGCTACAAAGTGAGTCTCTGACTAAAAAAAGAAGAAAGGCAGGAAGGGTGGGGGAGAAGCTAACAACCTAACTCAGTTGTTAGTGCTTATCTAGCATCCGTGGTCCAGCACTACATTAAACTGGATGTGGTGGTGGCTGTCGGTAATCCCAGAACTCTAGAAATAGAAGCAGGTGTCAAGGTCTTCTTTGACTACATAGAGAGTTCAAGGCCAGTCTGGAATATGTGAGAACCCGTCTCAAGAAAATAAGAAAAACAAAACCAAAATCAAAAATCTAAAAAACACCCACACAGACCTATTTTAGGTACTTTTGCTCATGCTAGGCAATCGATTTAACACTTAATCACACCCTTAGTAAGATTGGTGGGGCTTCTTTGTTCTTGGTATAAGATTTTTCTATGTAGCCCAGATACCACACCAAGTTAGGTTGGCATCTGTTTTACTGTTGTTATTGTTGCTTTTTGTTTTTTTGAGGCAGATTTTCATGTAGCCCAGGCTGGCCTGAAACTTGATATATATCTGATGATAATCTTGAACTCTTGATCCTCCTATCTCTATCTCCCAAGTGTTGGGATTACAGTCATGTACTACCACAGATAGTTTTAAAATCAGGTGCCTAGATAGGACCTTCCAGGGAGCATGAAGAGTCCAACCTTGTACTTGAACTCCATCCCCAAGAAGGTGAATGTTAACCTTGTGTGCAGAGGTAGCCCTGGGAGATAATTAGCTGGTTATCTATAGTGACAGACATTTACTTATTTAGAATCAAAGATGAGAAGGGCATAGTAGAACATGTCTTTGATCTCAGCGTTTGGGATATAGAGGCAAGGGTATCAGGAGGTTCAAAGCCATCCTTGGCTACACAGAAAGTTGGAGGTCAGTCAGTCTGTGCTGAATGAGATACTGCCTTGAAACAAAACAAAAGGTGAATGGGAGGATGGCTCATTTGGTAAGTTGATTGCCTTTTGTACACAAGAACGTGTGTTCAATCGGTAGAACTCGTAAAAAGCTTCTGGGGGCAGGGAAGTGGTGGTGGACTCCTTTAATCCCAGCACTTGGGAGGCAGAGGCAGGTGGATCTCTGTGAATCCAAGGCCAGCCTGGACTACAAAGAGAGTTCCAGGACAGTCTCCAAAGCTATAGAGAAACCCTGTCTCAAAAAACAATTCTGGGCATGTTGACAGGAGCTTGCAATTCCAGTGCTGGGGAGGTGGAGACAGGAGAATCCTAGAGCATGCTGGCCAACCAGTCTTGCCTAATTGGAGAGCTCCAGACAGATAAAAGACCCTGCCTCAAAGGAAGTAGATGGAATTCCTGAGAAAGACATCCAAAGTTGTTCTCTAGCCTCCAAACAATGAATATACAAGCACACATGTACCCGAACATGTGCCCATGAACATACACATTTTTTTTTAAAAAAAGAATATAGAGCTGGGCTGTATGTCAGTAGGTACAATGTTTGCTTAGCATGCATGAAGAAGCTCTTGATTTGATCCCAAACACCATATAAACTGGGCAAGGTGGCACCTGTCTATAAGCCCAGCACTCAGGGGTAGAGACAGGAGGATTGGGAGTTCAAGGTCAAGGTCAAGGTCATCCTCTGCTAGATAGTGAATTTAAAGTCAGCCTGGGATACATGAGAGACCTTGTCTAAAAACAGCAACAACTCAAGCAGAAAAAGTAACATGGAATCAAAGTGGCCACTGCGTGTGTTCAGAGCTACACACCTTAAGGAGTGAGTCTGACCTTTGCAAATAAACTACTTGTGGTACATTGGCCAATTGTCTTTGACTATGACTTTTGTGACTTGTGCCACTCTGACTGGCTGCAGGATGAGGGCGAGGACCCCTGGTACCACAAAGCATGCAAGTGTGACTGCCAGGGAGGAGCCAATGCTCTGTGGTCTGCTGGAGCTGCCTCTTTAGACTGTATTCCAGGTGAGTGGCTCAACACCCTAGCAGTCCTCCGTCCACAGCCTAATCCGTCGGCTCTGTTTGTGCTTTCCCCCTGCTCACTTGTGAGCACTGGCCACTGCTTCAACACACTTCCTTCCCCTGGCTTGCCTGAGATGGTCAGGTAAGATCCAACTGTCAATGCAATCTGAAAATAACTCAAGAGTAGAGGGGAGTCTCCTTCTTAGGGGTATCAGAAGAAGGGGCAGGTTCAGTGTCCTGCGATCGATGAGTAGTCCACAGTATGTACTTGCAGTCAGGCTGCCTCCGAGTCAGCTTGGAGGATAGGGAGGGGAAGAATCTGGAAAAACAAGTTGCTTCAGTTCAGAAACCAAATTACTATTGTTTCATGGATTTTCAGAGTTCAGCCAAAATGGAGGAACTCTGCAAAATGGTATGGTCTTGGCTGATATTTAATTCTGACATTGTGGGTTTGGAAGTAGCCACAGACATTACGTAAACACATAAGCATGGCTGTGTCCCAGTAACATTTTATAATAAAGCAGGCAATGGTGAACCCAGGTATAGTGGTACAAACCTGTGGTCCCAACACTTGGGAGGAAGAGGCAGGAGGATCAAGAGTTTGAGAGCAGCCTGGACTACATAGTGAGACACTGTCACTAACAAACAAAACAAATAGGTGATGAGTCATACTTGATTTAGAGTTACAGTTTGGTGACTCTTCTCTGTGGGGCTGTTAGGAGGAATAAATAGGACAAGGCATCATTGTGTTGAACTTGGCCAACTGCAGCCTTTAATAGACATTAGTTCTTTTGTTTTGTTGCCTCCTAGGAGTTCACACTAAGAAATTAGAGCAGACTTGCAGAGGCTTGCACTGTCCCTGCAAATATTTGCAAGGCTTAATCCTTTCCATGGCCCAGGGCCAATTGTTCATGAAACTGGCCTGGCCATCCCTCTCCTGGTTATGACAGGGCCCTTCAGTCTCATTTTCTCAACAGAAACTTAGTCTCTTCGAGAACTGTGAGGTCAAGATGGGGAACAGGAAGGCTGTTCGGTGACATGGGGCTTTCCCCAGGGATGCTGTCCATTACGTTTGATGTCAGGGGCTCCTGCAGCTGTTAAATGTTGGTCTGATCTGTCCAGTCTTAAGGGACCTTTGCTAGTGATGCATGGATAAATCTGTTCAATGACTTCAGCCACACACTTACCATGTGCTGGGCATTGATAAAGTCAGGAACAAAGGCTTTGGCTTCACCATCGTGAGATTTACCATTTAGTGGAAATGGCTACATTTTTTTCTGCTGTGGATGGGGAGATATGCCTCCTCCCAAATGGAAGACCCTCTAACCCAGTGGTTTTTAACCTTCCTAAGGCTGCAATCCTTTAATACAGTTCCTCGTGTTGTGGTGATCCCCCAACCATAAATTATTTCATTGCTCTTTATAACTGTAATTTTGCTACTGTTATGAATCATAATGTAAATATCTCATATGCAGGATATCTGATATGCAACCCCGTGAAAAGGTCATTTGATCCTCCAAAGAAGTCAAGACTCACAGGTTGAGAACTGCTGGACTAATCCTACCTGCACCAGCACTCTTTACTCTTATGCCCAAAGGGGAAGAATCACAATGGGGTACAGGTCAAGGGTGCAGGTGTCACTGTTTTTGTTAGGAAGCAAAAGGATTTGAGAGGGCCAGGAAGCAAAGCATCGAGTGAGTCCACCCTCCACAATCTCCTGTGGTGACAAAGAGCCATCTCTCCCAGCTAGACTGCTAAGTCTGGGCCTACTGTTTTCTTGCCCTTGCCAACCTGTGGGGGCAGTCTGAGGTAGTTCTTTTCTCCTGCAATAAAGATGGAGGCTTTATTAGAACAGTCTTTCTGCACAATTCAATCTGCTACACTTAGAAACAGGAATACATATAAAGGTATGCCCACCCATAAAGTAAGAAGCTGACTAGGGGAAAGGGCTTTCTTTGTTGGAAGCCAGCTGGAGCCTGCCAAGACTAGCTTTGTTGTTTTCCTCAGAGCCCTGTCTTCTCTTACCTGGTCAGCTTGACTATTACACCTGCTGCTGTAAACACTTTTTCATTCTCTCTCAGGGTGTCTGACCTTGCCATTTGGAGCCTAACATTTGTTTTAACTAAAACATCTTCAGTAGGGACATGAGATCTACTGGAACTTCACTCCAAAGAAGCTTCTTGGGAAGTAGACAGAGGGCTGGGGATGTGGCTCTGTTGGCAGAGTGCCTGCATAGCACATACAAAGCCCTGGGTTCCAACTTTAGGCTCATGATCCCAGCACTCTGGAGGTAGAAGCAGGAGGACCATTATTTCAAGACCATAGTCAGTGCTACAGAGTGTTTTGAAGCCAGCCTGGATTACATAAGACACTGTGTCAAAAAATAAATGCAGAGGGCCAAGGTGCCTGCTGACTGGACTCATACAACAGAAGGAGAGGGCAACTGTTTCAAGTTGTTGGCCTCTGACCTCCACATATGCACTGGCATCCAAACGAGTGCTAGGGCACACTCTCTTCAACCCTCTACCCAAATAAATAAATACATTAAAATACAGAAGTAAAAACCAGAAAAGAAATTGGGCAAGGACTTTTTATGGGGATTGGCTTTATTAAATCAATCAACTGAGGAGCTGAGAAAGTCCTACTTTAGCTCTTTGGTCCCATACGCAGTTGCCATGAACTTGAGTTTCTAACATGATACTGTATCTTAGTGTAAGTGTCCTCTTCATAGTGTTTATTTTTCTAACTACACAGATACTTTCAGAGAGAAAGAAAAAAACACATCAGTGTGAAATAATTGATTCATTGTGTTAACTGGCTGTTCTGTGAATGAAAAGATTCAAGGTAGCAGGACTAGTCTCAAGCTTCCAGAAGTCATTTGTTGGTCACTGTTTCAGTTTCTCATGGAATGCCAAGAACACCACTTCATCTGTCTGGATCTTGATATTGAGTGCTTCCATCAGGGCTTGCCTTAGGAGGGAAGATTCTAGAAAGCACAGAAGTATGGGTACTGTCACTCAGAGATGCCCAGAAAGCCCACAGGGGTACTTAGGTTAAAGTCTAGGGGCTCCACCCACAGACCAGAAGGCCAGGGACTTTTAGCTTCAGCTAAAACTATTACAAATACCAATTCTGCCTTTTTCACAGCTGAGCTAAGATTTTCCTGGCCTCCTGAAGATGGGGTACAGCAGGGTGGGGGCATGCAAAAGCCTAAGAAATCCAAGGGGTCAGGCTAGGGATCGAGCTCAGGGGTAGAACAGTTGCCTCACATGTGTGAAGTCCCAGGTTCAATCCTCACCACTACAAAAAAAACAAAAACAAAAACAAAATAATCCAATGGTTCCTTACTAATTTACTTTCACTCAGATTTATATTCTACGCAAATGCACATGTATAGTCTTTTACAAATATTATTCTGTTTTACTATTCTACCTTCTGTTATTGTTATATGTTTTCCATTCTAAGACACACAGAGTAATATTCACAGTTCTTAGCAATTTCCTGTTAGAAATGTTCCTGAGCTGCCATGCCCTCTGTTTTTTAAGACAGGATCTCATCGGGCCAAGGATGACCTTGAACTCTTGATTGTCCTGAGAGGTGGAATAGTAGGCATGTCCCAACAGGATTAGTTTTCTTTGGGTTTCTTTAGGCTAACTTTGTTTTCTTTTGTGGTGCTGGGGACTGACCCTAGAGCCTCACACATGCTAGGCAAGAACACAATCAGTGAGCGACACACCAGGACCCTGTACATGTGAAAAAAGGACTCTACCACTGAGCAACATCCCTACTTTTACTTTGGCCCTCAATGGTCTTTATAAATGAGGCTGGACCTCGTGTTTACAGACCCATAAAATATAGACTGAATACAGCAACTAACATGTTAAGTATGTTAGTAACCCATTCCACATATACCCGTACATATAAAGGGTCACTCGAGCCAAAAAAAAATGTAAGTTTTTCCTTTAAGAATAAAATGACCACAGAAAGCAATGCAATAGAGGCTGGTGATTTGAGATGGGTCAGTGCATGAATGTTTTCTGTGCAAGCTTGAGGACCTGGGTTTCAGTTCCCAGCATCCACATTGAAAAATGTGTTGTACACCTTTAATCCTCAGCCCTCAGCAGGCAGAGGCTGGTGGATCTCTGTGAGTTCCAGGACAGATTCCAAAGCTACACAGAGAAACCCTGAGTCAAACAAACAAACAAACAACAAAAAACACCACCAGCAACAAAACTGGGCGTCACAAGGTAAGTGTGGAGGCACACACTTTCAATTCCAGCACCCAGGAGGTAGAAATAGGCAGGTTTATGAGCTTTAGGCCATACATAGTGAGTTGCAGGCTAGCCAGCACTACAAAGTGAAACCTGATCAAAACAACAAACCCCCTAAACAAACAAAAACTAGGCATTACTGTATACGTAACCTTAGCATTGGTGAATGGAGACAGATTCTGGGAGCTTGGTGGCTAGCCAGCCAGCTAAAACAAAACACCAAGCTTCAGTTCAGTGAGAGACACTGTCTTAAGGGAATAAGGCAGAGAGTGATAAAGAAATTCACCCAACATCTTCTGCTCTCCACATGGGCACGTGCACTTGTGGCACACATGACACTACACACACACACACACACACACACACACACACACACACACACACACACACACACTCCAGTGTAGTAGCTGTTTACAATAAAATAACTGCAGAAATTTGGGGAGGTAATGTTCTTTGTGGGTCCAACAAGGATCTGCCCTTTGAAGCTTGCAAGAACTGCCTGGGGGTGAGGTCTGGGCCCTACAGGAAGTGTATAGCTGCTTATGGTGGAACCTCTCCCCACACCACATTTCCCTAGAATCCCCAGATGGTTTCCTGAGGGTGTCCAGAGGGCTAACTCATCCTTGGTCCCATTCCTCAGTGGAACCATGTCTCCAGTGAACTCAGGCCTCCACATGGTCCCTTTTGCCTCAACTGTGGCTGTCACCTCATCATTTAACTTCCTGATTGTGAAAGATGCTGTCAGTTGGGTAGGTGGAGGGGAGGACAGACAAGTACAGGGGTGTTGGATTTCTGCCATGGTAAGTCCAAAGAAAAACACAAAAAGCTGAGAAAGAATCCATCTAGCGTCATAAATTTACCCCACTACACCAACCAGTATTACAGCCTGCTCTTTTTTCGCTCAGCACTGTACTCTTCAAAGTCTACAGTTGCCAAACATGACTTCACTTTATCTTTTCCCAAATGACTCAAGGCAATATTGCTATGATGCCCATTCACAGGTGAGGATCAGGCTCAGAGGGCATTAAGAACTAAGTTCACTGGCACTGGGCAGGCCTCCTTAGTCTTGACTGCTCATTATAATCACCTGTGGCTCTGGGGTCCTACTCTACTCTAATCCCAGCAAGAGAATCTACAGGAATGTGCTGGAGCACTGGTATGCCTGAAGCTCCCTGGGTGACTACAGGGTGCAGATCAGACTGAGCCCTCTTGGTCTGTAGTCTTTGCTGTGTGCCTTCTTGAAGGTGTCAAAGCCCGAGACCCAGAGCACTAGACAGGAAGTAGTGTGACACAGAGCCAGCATGGATTATAAAGGACACCAAGTTTCTTTGGTCCGTCCAGGTGGCATTATTCGAGGGGTAGCAAGACAAGGCTTAGAGCCTAGCAGTTAGGCACAGGATCCTGGAGGCCACATGAAGCCCAGTTACTTGCCCTGGAGAATGAGTACAGCCTAGATAAATGTGTCTTTCTTTTATTTCTTTCTTTCTTCTTTTTCATTTCTTTCTCTTAGTTTTTTTTTGAGACAGGGTCTCAAGTATTCCAGGCTGGCCTTGGAACTCACTATGTAGCCAAGGATGTCTTTGAACTCCTCTGTCCTCCTGCTCTAACTCCCATACAGGTGTGTCCAACTACTCCCAGGCTCTGAGGATGGAACCAGGTAAGCTCTCTACCAACCAAGCTATATCCCAGGTCTCCAAACAAGTGAACCACACAATCTCGGTAGCTGCACCAGCCCTTCCAGGTCTGAGGGCACTGCCACTGTAAGTCTTTAGCTTACTCCTGTCACCTGATTGATGTGGAAAACAAAGCAAGAGAGTCACTGAGAGGTAAATGGAAAGAGCAAAGTGCCACAAACAGGGACTGGAAAGTGGTTTCCTTTTTTTTCTGCCAGCCCCCCTTCCCG